TCTGACGATCTTTTGGGCCTCTGAGGTAAAAAAAAAAACAATAACCTTTGATGAAAATTACGTGGCACTAATCATTCCAAACCATAAACGCCGATGATTCCACCTATACATTGAAAACTCTGCGTCCAACCTTCGGCAGCATCTCATTTTCACATAAGAAATTCGAGCTGCAAAGGAAAATAAAATGTAGTCAAATCTTGTACATTCGTAGATCACTTCATTCAAGGGCAGTAACAGCAATTACGATGGGCGACAATATCTCCGACTTATCGTATATCCAGCCATGTGAACACTCAAATTAATGTCAGCCACGAAGCGTCGGGCAAAGCGGTGAGATTGTTGAAATCGGCATGGCAAAGTAGTTTCTTGCAATCAGTTTAATACATGCGACGTTGGCTGTAAATCCCCTTATTGTCGCCGTCCTGCATCAAGCGATCGGGAACAAGGTCAGCTGAAGCATTTTTCGCTTAGAAAAAAAAAGAGTTTTATTTTTTCTGGTCGCCAGGAAACGATGATCGTGATGTGATTTGAGTTTCATGGTGGTCTGAACTCGGGAACACATGCGCAAATCGTGTTTTCAGCAATCGGCGTCGCTACGAGCGTCTGGGAGTAGCTGGAGCATCGTTAATGCCACGAAACCCGATGATTATTCATATGAGGCTGGGTGCGTCATTAGCGACACGCAAGGAAAATTCCCCAACTCGGAAGGAAAATATCACGCATCGCGAGCGGAACCCGAGGGTTCGGAGTCACGATTATTAAACGCGGCTGCATCAGGAACCGCTGCTTTTATTGCTGAGAGAAATCAGGGAACTAAGATACAAACCAGAAATTAAACGCTTTCCAAATTGGATTAAAAATAAGGAATGAGAGTGTAATCAAATACTGTATTGTCTCATCTTTTTTCATGACAGAAGTCTTGGATATTCATCAAACGAATCTCGAAGCAAAAAATATAGAAAGATCTCGAAAGATCAGTTGAATGATCATGCCTATTTTTTTCACTTGACTGTGTCCCTCTTTTTGAGAGAAAGGCCTTTAAAACTTTCGAGGATTCCATTTTAGTTTTCACTCCGAAAAGGCGGAACCTCTTACACACGCCTTATTTTAAACAAATGCATTTAGCTAAAAAGAATGTTAATTTTTGTCTTCATGGCTCTCACCTCAAGTCATGGACATGAAAGTTCCTCGCGCATTCTTTGCGGACCCTAATTTTTATTATTCAATTCAATTCAACTTTTTTCAATATCAGTTTCCTGGCAGCGGCCGATGGATGTGAAATTGTGCATCTGATGCTGTCCTATGTATATGCGTCTCTGTGTAGCGCGAGTAGAGAACCAGGAAATTTCTCCGATGCGTCAAAATTTCAGGAAATTTCAGCTGCGTCTGTCAGAGTATGTCTTTTGTAAGTTGTTGTTTGAATTTATGGAGAAAAGCGATGAGGTCGAACCTCGATTGGGATGCTGAGCTTTTTCCGAACGGCATTGGGAAGTCAGGAGGCGGCTGACTTCGAGTTCCGGCAGTCGGCACTGACTGTGGTGCACTAGTGGTCCAGTACTTTGACCATGAAAAGTGGTTGAAAGCGTGAAAGCCACACAGAATGCATGCCGGAGGGCATACGAGCCATTTCAGGAGTTTCTGATACCGTCCCAAGTTTCCAACATGTGGGTTAAGCAGTTCGTCGAACGCCGCGAAGGACTGACTGGATTCTGCCTCACTATTGGCCACTGAGCATTGTGGAACCGTAATCCGGAGTAACATTTTTTTTCTTCCATCAGTTTAGGTATTATGAGTTGAATTGTTGGTACAGTGTTTAGCTCAAAACAGGCATATTTTCTGACATCTGATTATAACCTGGGAGTCTCCGTTTCTGTGTGATCCTCTATGAAAACTTGTACAACTACGAAGTATTCTATACCTGAACATCATGAAGAAAAATAAGCAAGTATAGAATCTGAACTGGAAAATATATATAGCATTAAATACGATTTACACCCACTTCACCCTTGCACAGAACTAGCCAGGTTGAATTATTAAATTTCTTTATTGTATTATCGACAATTAATGTTGTGAGCATTGTGAATGCTGACAAGTGTCAAATACTGTAATGCTTTTACATGAATCAATCAATGCATAGCAAAATATCCCATTTGTTGGTCCAAAAATATTTGCATACAGTACATTGCACTTCGGTATACAATGCAGGATTAAATTTAAAATAGGCATTTAAATAAAATATCTCCACTATCGCCCCCAAGAAACCCCTCCCCCTTTTTGAATGCGGCCCACTACCACTTCTGAATTCGGCACCACTGATGCATTCAAAGAAAAAATTAATTCGGTGAACAAGGAGGTTTCGTTATTCGAATTCGATCGTCAGCGAAATGTTGAACTGGACCAGGAGGTTACAATTATTTTTCCCCACGGATATTCGAAGGACGCGAGGAAAAGTGAAAATAATCAGCTTTACTTGGAAACTTTACTAATTTTTTCCGAGATTTTTCACGCCAACACATTCTCCATAAATGTGGTGCGTAATATAGTTCTGTGCCGGCATTTATGACAGGTCTATTGTCGCATCGCCTGCGAATCCAGGTTGATAATGTCTTTCTTCGATACTGTGGTATTCTGTTACCCATAATCTTAATTCACACCATTCGCGACTTGAATAAGCTTTTTCTGTTTTTGAATTCAGTGGCATTATATGGGATTACTTACAGTACTACTGTATATAGGCTCTTCGTCGCAATTTAAGCGTTGACCCTTGGTGCAGTAAAATGTGGTCTTTTCTAAACTCAGTCGATTACCACACATCGGCTAGTCGCGGAAAATTTGCTTAACTGCTACTCAGACTAAGAAAAAAGATGGTGCAGCTCTGATCAGAAATTTGATATGGGTTAGCAAAATAAGTTTTCAGTCAAGTTAAATTATATCGGTTACTTACATTCACCTCGTCAGCCTTTTCGCTGTCGTTCAAGGCTGTTATGTGCATGTTCCATGAAGAGAAGTTCCAAAAAAACTTCAATTCTTTCGAAAGGGACGCATGCATTTGACTCAACTTCCCCGTTATCTAACGCTGTCAAACTCGTGATTCTCCACCAAGTGCACTAAAACGGGCAATATTTTTCACTGATCAGTCATATATGAGCCACTTTTTGAGATCCACGACACACTGTTCCGCCGCCGAATGAAGTACTAATATTCTGCTGGCATTCTTTAGAATGTGTCATAGTTGATGCCAGGTTTCGCAGACGTTATCGGGGCGCGGTTGAAGCGGGCCAACAAGAAAGTGCTGAAGTGCACACCAAACTTCCTTCCTGACGAGTTTTGAAAGGCTTCATTGCCTCGCGAGACAGTCGATCATCGGTTCAACCAGCGCTCCCTTGGTTGTGCAGCAAATAACAGACATTTAACCAGAGCCACCAGCAGAAATATCAAGTACTCTGCTGGCAGGTTTCACGCGTCGCCGAGCAAACCGCAGGAAGCCCATTAGTTTCGATTCGGTTCGCTTTGAAACTCATTCAAACACCGAGAATGGATTTATGTGAGAAGAAAAAACAAGAATACTATACAAAGATAGGGAGCACCGGTAATAAAGGAAAATCTTCAACGGAGTGTAAGACTCCCCTAAAGTTCTCCTTGGAAATGTATGAATCGGCGAAAAAAGTAAACTTTTTCGGATCTTACAGTTTTCTCTGCGGGCGACTCCATGGAGATGCTTGCTGTGGCTTTTGAATGCAAGAATCGTGAGATTCCCAAGCCAAGTAAACATTGGAGTGGAACAAGGACAGGATATATTTTAATATTCAATACATTTTGCCTGAAGAAGTAGAGCGGTTGACAAGGAGGATAAAAGAAAATGTGCTTCGCGTCCACAGTATATATTCGAAGATTCGTCTAGATCTAGACAACCAGATATGTTTTCATTTTGAGACAATTAGCCGCGTTGGATATCACACACGAGGTTTGCCGAAATTAAGCTCATGGAAACTCGGAAAGAAGCAAAATATATGAATAAGTAATCTAGATGTGCCAAACACGGGAGCGAACAGCGAAAACTGCCTTGGCAACCACTCTTCAAGCGACACCTGGTTGAAAATAAAAAGCTTTTTTATTGAATAACTCAGAGGGTTGAGTAAGTGACGCTGCTCCCGAAAATTCAGATACCTGAGAATTTTGCTCATCTTAACTGCGTCGTGCCAAACACGGATCAAATAAAACAGCTGATGTCAAACATTCTAGCACCTAACATCCGTATAATTCAATTTTCCTGGGTCACATTCCAGGGACTAACTTCTACTCTACACGCTAAAAACCCTTAGTAATGACCTGACACGCTGCTGCCGACATTTCCTCAAATTGCGAAGTATGTATCAGACAGGATTATGCTTTCCGAATAGATGCAGACAAACAAAATTAGAAACTGTATTTGATGGTTTGTCTCGTTTGTTTCTTCTAAATGAATCGGAATTCCGAAGCACTGCAGTTGATCGGATGTCTCTCTGAGCATTACCGACCAGGATAAATGGAAATTTTATGCACATCGATTTACCGGTCCGATTTTCATCAAAGTCAACGAGAGCATTTAGTTTTGGACTTCCTTCAGTTGCAGAGTTTAGAAAGTCAAGATTTATGTTTCGGATTCGGAGAAAACGGTATCGCAATCAAAGACTCACCTTGGTTGCGCCGATAAAAAAAAGGTCATTCCCTGAAGCAAGCATATTGATTGACGCATGCACCCGAGGTCACGAAAATTCTTGCCAAATCAAGGCCGGACGTTGCACGATGCTAATCAAGGTGACCGCATTTGCTTCGCTGCGTCACGACACCCCGCCGTCTCTAAGGTAGACTACGATGCGTCGAACCAGCTGCGTGTGCCTCGGTGGTGGCTATATGGCTGGTCTAGAAGTTTCCTGAGCATGATTTCCCTATTTTCCTAGTTATAACCAGAAAGTATTTAGAACTCAGCAGTGCAGCCGGGCAGCGATTCGCGGCAAAAACTTTCGCGACTCGGACGCGTTCGTATGCAACACCGGTTTCCTCCAACGTGGGCTGTTCCTATTATTCTGATTCGCCCATCGGTGTTGGCTCCTGCTGCTCATCTGTGACGATTACTTTCTGATATTTGATGCATGACAGATTTTTCTACCCCCAAAGTTTTTCCCGAGTGCCATTGTAATTTTTTTTATCATTTTTTTCAATAGCTGGGAGTCCTGGGACACAGATTTCTTCCAGTGAAGTTTTAGTTTTTTGACCGGATGAGAAGCACAGCTTATCCTATGCTGTACAAGGCGGAAACACATCATTTTTTTTTCAATTTAAAGATTCCCAAGTGCTGGTCATTGAAAGGAATAAGTGGCGACTTTATTTCTCCACGGTATCGTTGTGCTAAACATGCTCCCAGTATTCCGAATCGTAGAAACAGGCCCCCTTTTCATTGCTCCACTCGACATTTATTGCAGTATTCTTCAAGAAGCATCGTTAATAAGCTGCCGAAGGAATAACTGGCAGCACGCAAAGCTATCATAAAAAACCCGTGCCAAAAATGAGCCATATAATAGGGCTATAAACATCTGAGAGCTTCACTTCCACTCACTGAAGCCCCTCCCGCGTTTGTCGGGAACTTTGCAGGTATTGTATAACGCTGATTCAGTGGGAGAAATAAAAGCAGATTTGTGAGATGGGGACCGGTAGCTCGAAAGCGGATGTGAATTCGACGCCGGTGGAAAAAATAACGGATCATGAGAAAAGCATCACGTGCATGGCCTTGTCGGAAGACGAGTCCCTGCTCGTCACCGGCAGCGACGACGGCACGGCTCGGATGTGGAGCTCGAAAACAAGCTCCACGGAATGCTTAGGGATTTTCAGGTGATATTTTATTGAACCAGTTGGAAATCCCTGCGAGAAAATCCAATTGCGTACTTTTTGGTTAGTCCTTTGCACGTAGACAACACAAAAATGAAAGATAGACATCCCTACATGTTTAGCTGGAAAACAGCTAAACATCGTGCGGTTTCTCCTGCTGTCAAAAATCCCCATGTGTTGCCCATAAACCTAACGACATATACTGTTACTGCCCTCCTTGTACTGTATTTGTATCATATACATATGCAAAAGTTCATTAATGCAAATTTTCTCTGGCTTGGTGCCTTAACTCTCTGAAGTAACATTTTCATCCTAAAATAATGCTCACACAACTTTTCATCGTCTCGATCCATATTCATCCCATATTTGCGGGGGAGAATTCGGCTTCGCAGCATGCACTATGATAACGGGTTCCTAACGTTTTTATAAAACCAGAGTCTGAGAGTATCAACGAAAGATGACAATCCTATTAGTATCTGTTTCCACTCTACACGGTCTGTGATCAGAAGGCGGAGATTTTACCCAAAAATGCCTGGATTATTGCACTTCATACATTTTCAAAATCCTACAGATCTCTTTTTTAATATTTCAGGGGACACACTGATTACATAACTTGCATCACAGTGTACGACACTTACGTGCTGACCGGAGGAGCTGATGCGACAATCAGGAAGTGGGACATGACAACGTGCGAGTGTTTAGATGTCTATGGGGGCCACGATAGTCGGATTTTTCGGCTGCTCTGCAACGGGAATTGGATTTTCTCATCTTCTTACGATAGAACATGTCGCGCTTGGCGATTCGACACGTCAGACCTGGATGACGATGAGGACCCATGCATTCGAGTATTTCGAGTAAGAGCTTCTCGAAGTCTTCAGACGTCCGGATGTCACCCCGAGTTATCACTATTTTCTACTTCTTTTTTTTATGAACGAGAGTTAAAATTTGCACAGAAGAAATAATTTATCCACCGCAAGTACCATCTCTGAAAGTTATGAAAAAAATATGCCTCGTAGGCGGAAAAGATCAGTTAGTGTTCACTGGGTAGTTCAGCTCATCAAAATTTTTCCTCATCATGGAGTTACTCTTCAAAGGATTACGAATAAAATTTTCTTGGAAAGTCTTCGACTTTCGGGGTATTTCTGCAAGTTCTTTTAACATTGTTGAGTGAATATGGCAGATGAACTGAAATAAACTAGGAACATGCCTGCGATACTTTCTTTTACATAAAAAATGGCGTTGGTTTTCCATAAGTATAATTAAAAAGAAAATAAAGTCAAAGAAGATTGTTAGTCGACCCATTCTTGCACCTAATTTTCCGTGGTGCTGATTCAAAAATGCGTTGTACGAAATTCTTTCAACTGAAAAATGAATAACACTGCATCAATTTTATTGATAATTTTACATGATATCTGAGGCCTTGAGAATCTCATTCCAAAAGGCCTAAAACGCAAAGAGGAAAAGGCAAAAAAATAAAAATTAGATTTCTCCGTGAACTGGTCGGATGAATTTCATGAGTATGCGAGTAATGCACTCCTATTTTCCAGACAACTTTTCAGTCTTTCCAGCTTAAAAAGGATGAGGAATCATCCTGCCTAAATATTCAGCAATTATACGTGATTTTAGATTTTTGCCTGAGGGAACTGCAGCGTACCAAATTTTGAGATGGGACAATAAAACCTTCTACACCGTGTGAGATTATGAACTTTTTCAGGGACACGAAAAAGCAGTGCTGCCGCTCGTATATATACCTGGCGTAGAGTTAACTGGAATTGGATACAGCCCAGACGATATAAATCCCAGTGACTTGCTGCTGACGGGTTCTGCAGACGGAACAGCAAGGTCGTGGTCCGTTGAAACTGGTGGATGCTTAAAGGTTGTTGACTCCTACAGTAATGATTTAAAAATTAGCTTAGCATCGGAAACCTTTTCCTACAGATCTTCAAAGGACACCGTGGGCCGATATCTTGCATGGCGACTGATATCGACGGAGAAGTACTCTTCACAGCAAGTATGGATAAGACCGTTCGATCGTGGGACATTGCCTCGGGAAGATGCCTCAAGGTGAAGAAAAAGTTAACGCGATTTTAAACCGCAATCATCGGTTTGGGCTAGGGTTTTTTATTTTACAGAAAAATTGCGGACTGTCCGGGTTGACGAAACCTGGCTATTTTTTCTGACGTAATTTCAATGGTTTTTGCAAACGTGAAATGATTTTGAGCGCAGACGAATGCAAAATTTAATACTGTATATGCGAAAAACAATCAAAGAGAAACTCATGTGGAACCAGAATTAGTTTCTACAGAGAATTACTCTCAAATCTATGCTCAAATCTGGCATCTGCGCAATAATCAGACCAAGTTTTACTTGGAATATAAAAAGCAGATGGCGAATTTATTGCGGTCGTTTTTTTTTTATTTTCATCAAGACTTTCGAGGGGCATGAAAATGGGATTATAAGCATGTTTGTCGGAAAAACGATGCTGTACACCGGGAGCGCTGACGGGACAGCAAAATCTTGGGTCATTGACTTTGGAGAATGCACTCGAACTTACAAGGGTCATCAGCATTCAGTGACTTGCGTGCAAGTGTGTGGCGGCATCCGTAAGTCCCTAAAGTTTTGCATTGACATGCCCAAGTTTGCAACGGATTTCTGTGCTTTTCCAGTTTTCACAGCATCCGGCGACATGTCGGTGCGAGCCTTCGATGCGAAGGCCGGTTCATTGCGGAAAACTTACGTAGGGCACGAAGCTGGCGTCATGTCACTGGCTTACGTTGGTGGATATATATTTTCCGGAGGTTCTGATGGTGTTTTGATGAAATGGGACGCCCAGGGACTCGTGTACGTGTGTTCTCCGCATTTCAAGGGCTTGCACGATTAAAAGTGACGTTGATTGTTCCCATTCAGTGAGAACGAAACAAAGCCGGCGTTGAGTAGCGACAAACAAGCGCAGAAAGAGAAGCAGAATTTGAGGATGGCGCAGTTGGAAGCACAATTGGATGACTACGTTGATCTTAATCGTTCATTCGGGAGCAAGGCGCTTATGAGAAACTTACACAACGCAAAAAGTGGAACAGCTTGGGCGTGATTTGCAACGCGAATCGAAAATTTGTCAAAATTTTACAAAATCGAGCGGCTTCAAGAGCAGTCTGCATTTTCGATCTGATAGCCACGCTTACGCGATTATTGGCCAAAATTTAGTCTGTGAAGAATTCGACAAAAATCTCAGATACCTCATTCACGTGGAGATACTGATGTACATTAAAAGCAAAAAGTTCGAGTCAAAAACCGTAAGATCGACAGAATTGAAATACAATTTTTTTCGAGATTTTTCTCGCGTGATTTCCTCATGCTTTTCAATTTATTTCTGTGAAATATAAATTTTTGACCAAACCTGCCAGCAGACGATCTTTGGACAAACTGAAATTTCAAGGTAGGTCACAGACCACATCAAATACATTTTTTGATTGGTAATATCTTCCCCGCCAAAATGTCAAAATGTTGAAATTTTTCGGTTTTTCCCTCAGAAGGGTGCCCGAAGTCTGGTTGACGAGGTTATGATCGATTGCGGCCAATAATCGCGGAAATATACGGTGCAAATTGATGCAGAATATTGGGAATTGAAGTTCGCTGGGACATGTCGATTGTCAGAGTTCAAAATTGAGATTTAAAAGTTCAACTGCGTATTTTTTTTAATGGCGATTGATGAATACGAAAGACTTTGGAAATGTGTGTTTATGCCAGAAAATCCGTGCTTTGCGATACAAGTGCACGAAAAATGAAGCGCTAAATCTGCACAATTTTTGTTTCTGTGGTGCTATGTTCGAACGTGTATGGTATACCGTTGGAATCTCTGGCATTGATACTGTATTGTTCAGAGAAAAAAAAAAAGCTGAGTTTGTCATTTCTTAATCAGCTTTCATTTATTATCTCACCATTGCAACTTGACCATATGACTCAACATCCCGATCGGCTAAGAAGAGGCTTCTTCTTGCATTAATCAATGATTTGGAGAATTATGAACATCCTTCTAGAAAAATTCAAGCAGATTCCTTTTCTATAAAACGAAGAGCAGAGGAAAGGAATTCCTATGAGGAAAACGGCAATAGGCCAGAATGTCCCTATTGTCTTATAAATGTCCGCGTTCTTCGAGAGTGGTTTACTGTGTAATCGAAGGCACCACTTTTTTATACCTTCACCCCTCATCGATTCATCTTCATTCTTCCCGCGTTCCTCAGGGAAGTCAGAAAATATCTTGGGTACTGAGGGAACCCCCAACTCTGAGCTATTTTTGTTCTCAGTGATCTCTTGCTTGAATCCGCTCAGTAGATAAGCTGCCGTGGTACGTACTGAAAAAAAGACACTGATCGTTGCCGAGACAGCGAAAACGATGTGTTCGAACTGACACCACATACCTGGTAAGATGCATGGCAGTCCCGAAATGCTGTGGCATTGATTTCCAGCAAAAAGCTGGTGGTTGTATGGTCCTGTCGCTAATGGTAACCAAGGTTAGGAAAGTGCGCAGATATCAACCCCTGCTATAGTCACGGCTGACCAGCTGCTGCTTAAGATGCAAGGTGTTGTCCAGTGCCATACGTTCGGCACAAAATACATTTCACCCTTGGTAATCGATGTTTCGAACGACGAACAGGGCTGCTTAATGCATGCATTTGGTCATAAGAGAAAGGTGGTTACAAATTCAGTGCTGCAGTGCTATCCACGCCACTTTCATGGTTTCTTGGCTGATTTCTGATTTTTTTTAATAGTTGCAAGCAGGTCCATACAGAAAAACATTTATGCTGGTGGTTAAAACTAATGAAGTTTATAACATTTTTGCTGGTAAGCGTGCATTTTCACGATTATTATTTAAAATTTTCAAAGCCAAATATGGGGAGTAATCTATGCATTTACCTAATTTAAGGCTCTGGTTTTTTCAAACCTGTAATTTTTTTATTTCATTAAATAAGTCCCTTGTAGGAACACATTTTGTTACTCATTTTGGACAGGAGAAAAAAAACGGAAATTTCACCCGAAATATATATTTCTGGGCCTGTATTCTCCCGCTAAATCGCTTATCTTGCAGCAGTATTCGAAGGTAGATGCATCTAGTACACTCATAAAATCATTATAAGAAGTATAGCTTCTTAATCAATCGTAACATAGCAGGAATTTTTTTAATGATGCGTTGTCTAGAAATAGATGTTCTGCAATGACATGTTTTGGACTAATGTTTTCGTGCTACTTTGGGTGCTGTAGTGTGTTATTGTGAGTTGTACTTCATCCATGAAGCAGGCAAGCAATTTTTACCATCTGTGATGACTTTTAATAAAATTATTCAACAAACGTTACACCGTCAAAAGTGTTGAATGATAGGTACAGTATTTTAAGCGAGTATGAAGAAGGATGTTTCTTTTCACGGGAGTACTTGACGAAGTTAATCATTCTTGTTTCGCGTGATATAAAATCAGGGTATCATATTGAGAAAGCTTTAAATTGGATCAGTATAATGGGAGCCGGTGAATCTAAGCTTGAGGTGACAAATCCGACGCCGTTCGTAGACCATGAAGATGCCATTACAGCCATGTGCATCTCAGACGACAACTCGTTGCTCGTTACGACGAGTGACGACAAGACAGCGAGGATGTGGGTAGTCAATGAGCCCAAGACAGAGTGTCTCGGGGTCCTCAAGTAAGTCGTACATAATCTTTGTGGAAGGAATTGTGGTTATTTTTTCCTTCATGTTTGCAGAGGACACACGGAGTACATCACATGCGTAGCGACTCATGACACTTTCGTGTTGACCGGGAGTGCAGACGACACCATCAGAAAGTGGGATATGTCTACTTGCGAATGCCTGGAGATTTATCGAGGACACACGAGTCGAGTATTTCGATTGATTTGCACGGACGACTGGATTTTTTCCACGTCGTACGATGCCACGGCACGGGCATGGCTTTTCGACACGTCGGACCTAGACGAGGAGGAGGAAGCTTGCGTGAGAACGTTCAAGGCATGTCTCGGAAGAAATACAGCTTATTAGCTAATTGTAACAAAAAATATTTTGACATGTTTTGCGCGTTGCAGGGCCACGCGAAAGCAGTGCTGCCCATCGTCTTCATCCCCGGGGAAAACGAAAGCGACGTCAACGACGAAGGGATTAACCCCGGTGACGTTGTAATCACGGCATCCGTTGATGGCACGGCCCGAAGCTGGAGTTTCGAGACTGCGGGTTGCCTCAAAGTAATCCCCGGGAAGTTTCTCTGATAGTCACGCACTCAATTCATTCTAGCATTTTCCCCCCAGATTTTCAAGGGGCACAAGGGTCCGATTTCGTGCATGACAGTAGACGAAGAGGGAAAGATTCTGTACACGGGATGCATGGACAACACGATCCGCTCCTGGAACATCGCCACGGGCAGAACTCTGAAGGTGACTGGAATTCCTTATTCGAAATTCTCGAAGGAAAGCAGCTTTATTAAAGCTCCTAAAATCATGAACCCAGGCACGGAAGAGTCGTTCACTGTAATGCCACGAACCAGCGCTTTGATCCCGCAGAGGCATTAAAGTGTAATGGCGCATGGAAATGAGTGGATTCTTGTAGGGGTTTCATAGCATTCTTGCTGATTTTCTATTGTAACTACTGTACTTATTTCGAATTATTATATGTGCAAATCGAAAAATGCAATTTTTTCTCAACTAAGACGACACACATGCACCCCAGATTAAATTCACTCACATTCTCCGAATAAACTCGCCATGTATTTTTCCAAAAAAAACTGGTCCGCAAACACTTTTAGAGCGAGGCATTCCAAAAATAACGCAACACTCCCCTTGCTTGCTGCTAGGGATTTCAGGTTTCCAAGGGGAATCAGGAACAAAACATGTCCACCACTCTGTTAAATAATGTTTCAGGAATGCAGTATACTCTTTTCTTTCCAAACTGGGTACCCACGCAAGAAGATGGGAGTAATTTTCTTCGGGGACTCAGTAGCACATAGTTCTTCCGGGAAATTAAGAAAATCCCCTCGTCCTAAATTACTCTAGTCACGCATGGGTGCAGCAAGAAAACGAGAAGGCAGCATAGGTACAACGGAGTCTGACAATTTTTTTTCCGGAGTTGGCGAAATGGGATTTGAAATAATTCAGATTTCAAAAAGATGAAAATTTTTATTTTTGCTTTTTCTGATCATTAATATTTTAAATGTTTAAAAATACAGTATACTGTACTCCAAGCAGAAATCAGAAAGTGGTAGTATTTTTTCCGATGCGTTCAGACAAGAGATTGGAGTTCCGTCTATACACATGCTGTACTTCATACAAAGTCCGGAAATCGAAGTTTTCGCTGTCGAATCTCACGTCACGGGAATTCGAATTTTGAAAGTTACGTTCCTGCGATTAAGCTCCCCCTTCGCCCGTTGCAGGTTTTCGAAGGGCACGAAAACGGAATTGTCTGCCTGCAAATGTCCAAGACTATTTTGTACTCGGGTAGTACAGATGGAACTGCGAGAGCGTGGGTGGCCGAGTTTGCAGACTGCACTCGAGTGTACAAAGGCCACAAGCACACCGTGACCAGCTTGAAATACAAAAACGGCATCCGTAAGTCGCCATGGTCTGTTTTCCTTTTCCTGCTTCCTGCCTCCGCGGGATTTAGCAATATTTCCGGCCTTCGTCTGGACTCTTTCGAGCACACTAAAAATAACCCGAAGCTCGGAGGGCTTCGATTTTAGAACGCGACCCCGTCGTGACATGCCTGCGAAAGGCAAGCAGCCTCCCCAGAATACCTTGCCGTTGGTTCTCAAACCGCTGGAGAACCTTGCACTGAAAGAAAAATAGAATGAAAATGTCTCTAAATTACTTTCTATGTAGACCGTCGATGTGACATTTATAGTGAAGAGCAACATGATTGGGCCGAGGCACACTGATTACAGCAACTTCTTAAGTATGGGTATTTGTGAAGAAATGTCTAAATAAGGATAATTTCTGAGTTCGGTGAACGTATTCATCACCTAATCTTCATTTTTTAAAGCTAAGGCGAGCGATAAAACAGGTGAAAATCGTGTCAAAGAAAGGTTCACTGGGACGAAGAAATTTTTTTAATTGTTGAACATGGGTTTTATAGAAGATGTTCCAATAGTCGACAAAATAAGAACACGAAATGTTGAGAGACGATCTGTTGGCAAAAAAAGAAGATTTGTGTTTTCATTATATCAGCCATTTGATCGGCACAGCATTTGATCGAAGCTGAATTCGATTTAACCTCGGATCCATATTATTGAACCCTGCTATAGTAGCCTTCTGTGAAAAATGTTCCAAACGTATGTATCAATTGGTATGATAAAAACTAAGGCCGTTTCATTTCTCGATGGTAGCTGGCATACACGAAACAAAATTTTAAATCTCCGCTTGTGGAAATCCGGCTTTCATTAGATTGTTATGTACGTATTTCAACCGTCCTCCAGATATCGACGTGCATGGGCGAGGTGCTGACGGGAAAGGATGGAATCACTTCTGAATCTACAGTCAATCCATGTTTCATTTTTATTTTAGCCAAGCTGAAATACCATCGTCAGATCACTCTAGACTTAGAGTGACTTACATATTGAATTGTATAAATACATTGCTTGATGCATCACCAGAGCACCTTCTTTTCTTATGCCCAGCAGCTACAGAAATGAGCTTCAAAAAGATTTGGGACTCTTAAAATCCAATGAAAAGACTCTTTCCAAAATCTTAGAGGATCAAGATAATCTGTTAACCTCATATGATTTATCCTCAAAGATTCTCTCCAAATTGTTTAATCAACTAAACCTTATCTGGGAGCAGGTTGAACACCTTGTCCTTTAATTTGAACAGCTTGTTTATCTGTTTACCAAGCTGATGTGAAGAATGTGTTTGGGTGAATGTGTGTGGGGAGGGGCGGGGTTTGGATGCGGGAACTTGCATGTTTTTTTATTATTATTCTGGAGTATTGCATTCGGTCTTAGGCCCGAATAACTCCGAATAAGACAGTTTCCATGGTATTTGCATTCGAAGAGCGATGAGAGCGGTCTAATTGCCAGCGGTTCATAATTGATTCAATGAAAAATATAATGGAGACGAAGTTAAAGTGACTGAAACCTATTGACAGTGTTCACTGGCTGCGGAGACACGATGGCTCGGGCTTTCGATGCCAAATCTGGAGCTTTGAGGATCACTTTCAAAGCCCACGAAGCCGGAATCACGGCACTCACGGTCGTTGGTGACGCTTTGTACACAGGTGGCTCCGACGGTGCTCTCATGCGATGGGATCTCAAGGGTCTGCCGTGAGTTGAGCATTCTTGAATGATTATTTCTCTGGTTTCCTGACTATTCCATCATGTACAAAATGTTCCCCATTTGTTGAACACTTTTGAAGAAGTTTTCTCCATCCGTCGATTGCGAGATGTTCTTCCAAGCGTTGAGGTCAAGATTTCGAGAACAAAATTGTTCCGAATGCCAACTCATTTCTCGCATTATTGAAGATCCAACACGAGACATTGGATTTTCATGGACAAAAATTATTCGTATATTCTTTGATTAATTTAAGTGAACTTTCAATGAAAAGGCTGACTGAGACTCTCTTATTCCAGCGGAAATGTCGAATTGCCCGCGGATGACGACAGAGTCGGTGGATCTACGACCGCTGCTGGGTAAAATGCTTGCTGCTCATCAGCAACGAAAAATTCGCACGCGGTCATCGCAAATATATTTTGTCGTAATTTAATCGACGGTGACCAATAAAATTGCAATTCTTCGCCTTTCTAAACGCGCACAATATTCTTGAATGTATAATCACCGGAGTGATTTCGGGAGTTTATTTCCTGTGCACAGTGCTTTCTGTCGCGAATTCTTTCCGAATGCTTACGCGTGGGACGAGATTGTGACCGATTTTTCTAAATTAGACTCTAAAAGCAATGAGAGAATTGCCGTCTGAGCGAGACTTCTTAGCTTGCACCTATATAGCGTCGTTTGGAAATAAAAGCCATGTACTAAACCGTGGTCTTACGCAAAGACCTGTTGTCTGTGTATGCATTTTTATTTTAATATTTGATTAAATCGAATCTTCGTCAAGATTTTGGAATCTCAGCATATAATTCCATTCCAGTAGATAAGAATTTGGCTTTTGGACTTTTTGTTGAATTTGCCACTTTAAAAACTAATTAGCGTTAATTCACGTACCAGCACCTCCTTGTATGGTAGACCATCCGTTCGGAGTACCCCTTGGCTTCAAATATTTCACTCAATTTGGAACTACAGTATATGTAAATATGTTCAGCTTGGGTTTCGGACGCATCAGGAATGTAATGCTTCATATTTAACCTCGAATTTTTCCTTCCTTTTTCAGTAGATCATTCTACCCCAGTTATCTGTTTTTACCTTGAGCTATGTGAACAATGAGTCCGTGGTTGACAATTCAAATCATAACGCCTTTTTCGTAGAAGAATACGCTCAATTCCCACCTGGATCATCAATAAAAGTAACAGCGGTTGAAAAGCCCAAAACTAGAGCACAACCTGGCAACCACAAGCAATCGAACCCAAAATTCCTTCATGTCACGTGTCACTTGCTTTGCGAGAAATAGACGTCGTCACTTAAATAAAGATAAATTGGATGAAGGGACGCTTTTCTTTTCACGTAGCCTTTGGACGAGCTTTTCGGAAGCCCTCAAGCCGAAGGAGTCCTTGGGAAGCATTGTCTTCGGGTAGGAAGCATGTTCGAAAGGTCGGGAGAGAGGAAAAAATTGTTTGCTCTGGCAAACTGAGCATTTTCGTTGCCTAATATTGACAGAGCCGAGAAGTCAAGAAGCAACCTGAGTAGGTCCGGGGCAACCTCATAAATTGATGCGCTGTTGAGGGTTAATCTCACAGTCTGGTGCGAAGGAAATGTATGGAGGGATTATTCTTGCCCTCATTTACCGGCACAGGATAATTGGGGAAAGAAGGAACCCGGCATCCGTTCCTCGGGGATGTTTATCGACGGGCAATTTGTGGGCGTCGTCAATTTTCCGTGGTGACGGACGAAATTTAATTAGAACTTGAGGATGTGAAAGGCTCTGAGGTGAGTCCCTTTGGAGTTTTAAGTCCCAAGGTTGCTTATGCTGCTTCCTGCTAGTCAGGTCAAGTCTCCCGGGACGCAGGCACAAAAGACGTCGCCAAAATTTTAAGAACTCCGTCTCTGCGTCACTGGCCTCGAAGCACGATTGCTGGAACGCACTTTTATTACGGCACCCCTTGTAGTTCCTTCCTTCGCTGGAAGAGTTGCCAATTTATTGGCACCCCGCTGGACCCCTGTCAATCCTCGCATTTTTTACCTTCGAGCCACGCGAGTTCTTTTCCTTGCTTTTCCGTCCCCTTGCCGTTTTCTACGCACACGAAGCGCCAGGTCCAAAATACTCGACAGGAAAATGGTCGTGCGTCACCGAAAGAAAGGTAAACTTCGGGAATTTATACTCTAAATATGATGCGAAGAACTTGAACGTCATCTAGGCAATTTACTTTAAATGATCACGAAATACCAGAAGTTCACAATTCATTATTTTGCAAACAAACAAAAAACCGTGCGCGGTGAACTGGATCAACGAAGATCACGTACTCCAGAGTCTAGACTTCTATAATAATCTAGATACAGTATTCTAAAGGACCAGAATACTGTTTAGATAGTCAGCTAGTGATGGTGGTGGATTCTCTACGACGCTATTGCTATTGTATACATAGGTATTTTTAAACAAAATAAAAATTTCCTCGGTCCCGACAGACTTTCGTTGAATTTAAAAGAAGAACCTCTGCATCAATATTCCCTGTATATGCAGGACCATAAATATAGTGTGGCCCCTTAAACCAAATGAAATTACTTCTCAAGCTGTGTTCATTATTAGTTGGAATCTCCGCGCTTTGTTGGCTCGCATTTTCCCGAAGATTTATTGAAGATTTTTTTACATCTCATGATCGAAAAAAATTGGAGAAAATCTCCGAAATTTCAAAGCGAACTTTTCAAAGTCTGTGTCAGAAAATAACTGTGCAGAAGAAAGCAACACAGAATCTTACCCCTTGACATGAAATTGAGTCCAAATGTACAAATAAATAAGTAAAAAAAATGCAAAAAAGTGGGAAATTGTTCTATGGCCATGATTCTTCCGATTACTGCACTATGGAGTGTTCATGCCGATTCAACTTAAGAACCCATGCAGTAATTGAACATTTTAAAAAGATATTGCAGATACATCTTTAATTTTGAATTAAAGCGGTAGCTCCGACGGTTCAGGAATCAGGATACCAACGAGAGGAATCATTCACTAGACCACGTTTCATAATACATCCAGTCATGTTTTAAGGCGTGTTACATGTTATGAGTGACTTATGAGAATTCTGAAGCACACGGTTCGAGACAAAGACAGTATTTCGTGTTATATTTTTAGAAATCCGCCGTAAATCACCACTCTAAAGTGTAGATTGTTGAAATAGATGCCAAGGGAATTCTGATTGCTCGCCCTGATGCTGTGAAACAAACAAAAAATCACTGAATACAGGGTTTCGTCGAGCGACAATCTGAAAATAAAAAGAAGTTTCTCACGACGGATTTTCCCTCACCCACGCACGGAGAATTTGGAAAGAAAAAAAAAAGATTCCCGCGGGACGAAATCAGCATATAATGGTTGCATTGTTATCTATTCTCCCTGAACCTATTCCCAAATGCGAGTCACATAACCTGACGCGTAGGGGTGCGAAAAAATCAGCCGAAACGTCTTTTCGGCGGGATTGCGCAGCGCTGATCGGCGAGGCGCGGCGCAAGAGGCACTTTTTCTCTCCCCGAAGGCCCTGCCCACTCCTCGAGAGAAGCGGCCAAAGGAGAAAGATTCCCCGCTTATAATCACAAGACGCCCCTGAGAGAACTCTGCTCGTTCCAGCTTCTCGATATATATAGTCGGTAGAGCCGTCGCTCCGCTAGGCATTTTGGTGTCGACCGAAGGGCTGACGTGCAGTCGCTCCTGCTGAAATCGCGGTGACCTCCCGCATCTCGACGAAGATTACCTCCGGTGCTTTCATCGTCCATCCATTTTTGCTTGTGAGTATGCTGAGTCTTTCCCAGAGACAATACCTCGTACATACGCGTGTACCGTACTTACTCGAATCCCTTCCTGCGCGGTATTAATTTTTTTTTTTCAATCAGTCTTTGTTTCATATTCCACCAAAAAAATCTACCAGAAATCCGAATTATAACTCAGAATTGTGTCAGTCACCTGCGAATTTTTGACGTAGCTATAAAGACTTGATGGAATGTAAATCTGATTTCTTGCGCAAATGAATGTACTGTACTTTAAATCTGACATCAGATGTAAAAACGCCTCGATTTAAAAAATTAAAGCGTGTCTTATATTCGATCGCTCATTTTTTCATGTACAGTATATTTGCCAATTTTCGGATTATAAAACGCATTTCTCATTCTAGAAAGATTTTGAAAAAATATTTCTAGAATGAGAAATGCGTTTTATATTCA